AGTATGTCCAACTGCAGCTTAGGTCTGCGCCCCACTGGCAAGTGGACATCCCCCGAGGGCTGCCAGGTTGCCAGAGGGATGTCTGATTGCCATCTTAGGCCCAATCCCTTGGGGAGCAGGCCTAAGCCAGCAGGTGGACATCCCCTGAGGGGTCCCAGACTGTGAGAGGGCACAGGCTGGGCTGAGGGATCCCCCCCCGCCCGAGTGCACAAATTTTTGTGCACTGGGCCTCTAGTCTTATAAAGTGTAATGTGCAAATTGACCGATGGCAGAATGACCGGTCGGCTATGATGTGAACTGACCACCGGTAGGCAGACAGCAGATGCTCAACGCAGAAGCTGCCCCCAGCCCGCAGGCCCCAATCGCCCGATGGCGAACTGGGAACCAGTGGTGAGTGGTGGCGGACGTGGGCAGTGCCAGGGCCCCAATCGCCCCATTGGTCGCCCCACACACAGAGGGCAACCGGTGGCAGTGGGGATGGGGCCAGCTGCCAGCAGCGAGGAAAGATCAGCCCTGATCGCGGGCCAAGCCTAGGGACCCTACCTGCGCACGATTTCGTGCGCTGGGCCTCTAGTAATGTTATAATGCAGTGGTTCTCATAGTGTGGTCCCAGACCAGCAGCATTACATCAGTAGATCCTATTAGAGATGCATATTTTTGCACCTTCTTTTTCCAGAATCAGAAACTATGGAGATGGGGCCCAGCAATATGTATTTTAATAAGCCCTCTAGGTGATTCTGATGCATGCTTTTCTGGAGAACCCATGCTCTAATGAACATACTTCAGGAACTACCAATGTCTTCAAAAGTATTTTTTCTTTACTTTTCAGCTTCTCCAACTTGGGAAATACTTGCTATATGAATGCTATTTTACAGTCCCTATTTTCACTCCAGTCATTTGCAAATGACCTGCTTAAGCAAGGTATCCCATGGAAGAAAATTCCACACAATGCACTTATCAGGTAACTGTTACGTACTTACTGAGTAAACTTTTACCTTATTGATTATAGAATAATGAAGTTTTAGACACTTAAAATTCTATGTGCTATGTTAATAGTCTTTAAAATATCATACCATTCAGTGTTTTGTAAAATATGCTAAACTAGTCTCTTTTGTTTTACCAGACGCTTTGCACACTTGCTAGTAAAAAAAGATACCTGTAATTCAGAGACCAAAAAGGATTTACTCAAGAAGGTTAAAAATGCCATTTCTGCTACAGCAGAGAGATTCTCTGGTTATATGCAGAATGTGAGTATCCGTTGTTTTTAGCCACTTTAGAGGTAGTGGAAATTGAAATGATCTTAGTGTGTTACCTGATTTTTACTTTAAAGTGAGATTTATACATGTATGTTGTGTTCATCACAGGTTGGAGAACCTAAGAACTTCTGGTAAGGTTCAATGTGACTCTTTCGTGGTTTATTATATTTTAATAATACAGATGTGTTCTGTCAGTGAAGGAACTTGGGGTATTTTACCTACAAAGGCTTTTTTTTTTAAATTACCTTTTCTTTAAAAAAAATGAAGAAGTGAATTCCATTATTCTTGCTAATCTCACTGATAGTAAAGAATATATAATTCATCATTTGTTCTTATTCAGAAAATATGTAGAGTAAATCTCTATGTTACTTTTTAATATAGTGTTATTGACTCCCAAGTGCTTAGTTTTATAAATTATAATGTTGATAAGTTATTATTGTGATAAAAAATGTTTTGATCTGATTAAGGATGTTATACCTTCTTAGGATGCTCATGAATTTCTAAGTCAGTGCTTAGACCAGCTAAAAGAGGATATGGAAAAATTAAATAAAACTTGGAAGACTGAACCTGTTCCTGGAGAAGAAAATTCACCAGATATTTCAGCCACTAGAGTATACACTTGCCCTGTTATTACTAATTTGGAGTTTGAGGTTCAACACTCCATTATCTGTAAAGCGTAAGTAGTCTCCAAGAAATCTGTTTTTCCTTTTAATTCTTTTTTTTTAAAATACGTTTTTGTTGATTTCAGAGAAGAAGGGAGAGGGAGAGAGAGATAGAAACATCAATGATGGGAGAGAATCATTGATCAGCTGCCTCCTGCATGCCCCCTACTAAGGATCGAGCCTGCAACCCAGGCATGTGCCCTTGACCAGAATCGAACCTGGAATCCTTTAGTCCTCAAGCCAATGCTCTATCCATGAGCAAAACTGGCTAGGGCTCCTTTTAATTTTAATGGCAAGTGATTGAAACTCTTCTGAAGGTTTTAATTCTTACCACATTTTCCTTCCCATGTCATGGGAAAACAGAAATACAGACATCTTTTTTTAGTGTTACTATTTTCTGTAAAAATGCTTGGTGGGGTGAAAACTAAAAAGTACTTAAATATTTTGCCATATGCTTTAGCGATAACAGTTCATTTTGATCTACTGTGTGTGTGCTTTTTTTGTTTGTTTTTCATATATTTTTATTGATTACCGCAAATCTGCTTAGTGATTTTTTAAAAATATGTATTTCTATTGATTTCAGAGAGGAAGGAAGAGGGAGAGAGAGATAGAAACATCCATGATGAGAGAGACTCATGGATCGGCTGCCTCCTGCAAGTCCCCTGCTGGGGATCGAGCCCACAACTAGGGCATACGCCCTTCACTAGAGTTGAATCTGGGGCCTTTCACTCTGCAGGCTGACACTCTATCCACTGAGCCAACCGGCTAGGGCTGTGTGGAATATCAAGTTATCTGGGAATACTTGTTCTTTTTATCCTGAAAAAACTTGCTATTGCTTATTTTATTGAACCAAATTGATTTTATTAAAAATGGGTTTTTATAAAATAGATCAAAATTTGAATTATTTTTAACTTCAATGCTTTTTAACCATATTTACATTAGTTACTCAAATTTACTTTCTAAATTTAATTAATTTCCATGCTCATTGTATCACATCAAAAGGTTCTGTTTTGATTAATTTTCCAGTTATTGGTAGTACATATCTGAATGCAATTTTTCAGAGAGAGTAGAATTCTTCACAGCCCCTGTATTAGTGAGAATTAATTTTGTGACTTTAATACAGGATTATTCAGTCACATATAGCCTTATCCTTCAACATATTATGCAAACTGTTTCATTATATCTTTTTAAATTTTTTTAATTGATTTCAGAGAAGAAGGGAGAGGGAGAGATAAAAACATCAATGATGGGAGCGAGTCATTGATTGGCTGCCTCCTGCACACATCCCCTACTTGGGATCGAGCCTGAAAACTAGACATATGCCCTGACTGGAAATTGAACTGTGACCTCCTGGTTCATAGGTCGATGCTCAACCACTGAGCCACGTAGACTGGGCTGTTTCATTGTATCTTGTTACTATGTGTAACTTGGGAGAAACCTGATTTTTCTGGATAATCTTTTTCTTCCTGAAAATCTTCCTTATTTATTGGAAATTAGCATTTTTCACTAGTTTACATCTAGATATAGACACTTTTTGTTAATTTTGCTTTTAACATGATGGAACTTTTTCATCTGAAGATTTGAAGTTTTCTTCAGTTCAAGGAAACTATTCTCTAAATACTATTTTTCTTTTATTCTGGAATTTTTTTTTTAGAAATACTCAATACCCATATATTGGCTCTCCATTCTTTGGCTTCCATATTTGTCTGTTTTTCTTGGTTTGCTCAAAATGTAGTGTTCACTGAGGTCTCTCAGCTAGAACATTCTAGTATTTTTTACTAAAATTTTGAATAACCATGTGAAATGTGGACACTAAAGATGGTAGTTTTGTATTACTAGTCTGTGACTTTTTTTAACTTTTAAAAATTTATTGTTGAAAATATTACAGATGTCCCCTTTTTCCCCCCATTAACGCCCTCCACCCCACACCCCACACCCTAGACCTTTACCACACTATTGTCTGTGTCCATTGATTATGCATATAAGTTCTTTGGTTAATCTCTCCCCATCAACTCCCCTACCCCGCCTTCCCTCTGAGATCCATCAGTCTGTTTTATGCTTCTATATCTCTGGATCTATTTTGTTCATCAGTCTGTTTTGTTCATTAGATTCCACATATGAGTGAGATCATGTGATATTTGTCTTTCTTTGACTGGCTTATTTTGCTTAGCATAATACTCTCCAGATCTCTTTATGCGGCCTCAAAGGGTAAGAGATTCTTTTTTTTTTTACTGCTGCACAGTATTCTATGGTGTAAATGTACCACAGCTTTTTTATCCATTCATCTACTGATGGGCACCTGGGCTGTTTCCAGTTCTTAGCTATTGTAAATTGCACTATGTCACCAGTCTGTGACATTTGTTGCCTTCATGCTTTCTTTAGCCTTTTTTCCTCCAGTGGATAAATTATTTTTTAAAAGAAAAAGTCCAGGTCTTACAACTTCAGCTCATCTTCTTGTAAAAGCTGGAAAACCCATCAGCAGTTAATAATGTGATAGACTGCCATCCTTCCCTTCTAATGCACTTTTTTTATTAATCCTCACCTGAAGATATTTATTTTAGAGAGCGATGGCTAGGGAGGAGAAACATTGATCTGAGAAACATCGATGTGAGAGAGAAACAGCAACTAGTTGCCTCCCATATGTGCCCCAACCAGGGGTCAAACCCGCAACCCAGGTATGTGCCTTGACCAGGAATCGAACCTGCCACTTTTTGGTGTACAGTACGACACTTAACCAACTGAGCCATCCAGCCAGGACCCAGTGAACTTTCCAAACAAAATTTGTTCAAGTCAGAAAAAGAAACAAAATTTGTTCAAGTCAGAAAAAGAAACAAAATTTGTTCAAGTCAGAAAAAGAAACAAAGGTTTAAAAAATATTTTTTTATTGATTTTTTTAGAGAAAGGAAGAAAGAAAAAGAAACATGGGAGTGGGAGAGGAACATTGATCAGCTGCCTTCTGCACACCCCTCACCGGGATCGAGCCCACAATCTGGACATGTGCCATGACTGAGAATCGAACCAGCAACCTCTTGGTGCATGTCTTTATTGGTTTGAAAGAGAGGAAGGGAGAGGGGGGAGAGAGAAACATCAATCTGTTTCCTCCCATATGTGCCCAACTGAGCATTATATTCACAACCTGGGTATGTGCCCTGACCGGGGATCAAACCAGTGACCTTTTGGTGCACAGGATAATGCTCAGCCAACTGAGCCATACTGGCTAGGGCAACCAAATTTATTTTTATAGAAAAATTTCAGTTGCCTCTGATAGAAATGGCCACAGGAAGAAAGAAGATGATATCAAAGAGGTGGCTCCAGCGCTGTGCCAACAGCATCGGTCAGGCGCAGCACCCAAAAGTCAGGTGTCTGGTTGAGGTGTGTGCATCGGTGCATGAAACTACGTGACTCACAGAATGTAGGCACGCCAGGCTGAACAGTGGCCCAGGAGTTTGCCAAGTCTGTAGGCAACAAGTTTCTGTGGGGCCACAGCCACTGTGGTACAACTATCTCCTCAAAGACCATAACTTAGTTGCTTTATTAATAATTTTCTTTAAGACAGTTATTTAGCCCTAGCCTGTTTGGTTCAGTGGATAGAGTATCAGACTGTGAACTGAAGGGTCCTGGGTTCGATTCCAGTCAAGGGCACATGCCCGGGTTGTGGGCATGATCCCCGGTAGACGGTGTGCAGGAGAGAGCCAGTCACTGAATCTCTCTCATCATTGATGTTTCTCCTCCCTTCTCTGAATCAATAAAAATATATTTTTTAAAAAAGGAAAAAAAGACAGTTCTTTAACCACAAAGTAGTTTCTGGCTGAAGGAAAATATTATATACCTTATTCCTCATATTGTAATTTTTTATTTTTAGCTTCTGTCTCTTCTGACTATAAGTTAGTTTGGCCAATTTGCCAAATGTACCTATTTTTTAAAGTATTATAGTTTAAATCTACCGGTTTTCAATTATTACATGGCATTTCAATATGTTCATGTATTCTTGAATATGAAGAATTATGAATTCTTGCCCAAACCGGTTTGGCTCAGTGGATAGAGCGTCAGCCTGCAGACTCAAGGGTCCCAGATTCAATTCCCGTCAAGGGCATGTACCTTGGTTGCGGGCACATCCCCAGTAGGGAGTGTGCAGGAGGCAGCTGATCGATGTTTCTCTCTCATCGATGTTTCTGACTCTCTATCCCTCTCCCTTCCTCTGTGTAAAAAATCAATAAAACATATTTTTTTAAAAAATTTTTGAATTTTTCATTTGAAGAACTTAAAATATCTAAAATTAAGTACTTAATATTCCTCATAAAACTTCCTTCTGCAGTCTATCTCAGTAATGACAATTCCAGAAATGTGGTGTATATCTTAATTCTTTTCTTTCTCTTGCACCCCTACATCTAATTGTCAGCACATCCTTTCAATTCTTCACAGTAAATCCAGAATCTGACCCCTTCTTACCACCTCTATGCCACTACTTTGGACTAAGCTGCTATCATCTCTTGCCTGGATTGCTGCAGTTCCTTCTAAACTGGTCTCTTTGTTTCTGTTCTTGTCTCTCTGTGGTCTATTTTAAACACATTAGTCAAAGTGATAAATTTTTAATGGAAATTAGTTCATGTCAACCCTCTGCTTGTAACCCTTAAAATAAAAGCTGAAATCCTTACTATGATCTACAAAACTTCTTATGATCTGCCTTTGATTAACCCCTCTCCCCCAGTTTACTCTCTAGCTTCATCTCCTATTACTCTTCCCCTTGTTCATTCTGTTCTAACCTTTTTTTTAAAAATGCCAGAATCTTGGTACCTCAGGGCCTTTTCACATTTTAAGAAAGTACTTAAATACTTGCCAGGATTACCCTTTGTGTTGATTTTTTTGGATATATATATATTTTTTTGAATTTAGACATAGAGGGAAAGGGAGAGAGCTACAAACATTAATGAGAGAGAAACATCAACGTCGATCGGCTGCCTCCTACATGCACCTTACTGGGTTTTGAGCCCACAGCCCTGGGCATGTGCCCTGACCAGGCATCAAACCAAGTGACCTCTTGGTGCATGGCTCAACGCTCAGCCACTGACCAACACCAGTCGGATACCTGTGATCTAATAAGGGTTAAAGTAACGTGTCTTAAATGTGTATATTTCTTATGCTTAATCATAGCCTGTTCATACACTGTAGGGGAGCAGTGTTCCTGAAGTATATTTGTATTTATTTTGTATTGCAGTTAGGTTTCTGAATGCTTAGATTTGTCTTCTTTTACAGATGTGGAGAGATTATTCCCAAAAGAGAACAGTTTAATGACCTCTCCATCGACCTTCCTCGAAGGAAAAAGCCGCTCCCTCTGCGTTCAGTTCAAGATTCTCTTGATCTTTTCTTTAGGGTAAGTAATATATTTTGGTATTTTTACATAACTAAATTTTATATATCATATATAATTATATTTGAAGTTAGTTTCTTTAAGGCAGAATTTGGACAAAATTACTTGAGGGAAAGCAAATGAGAAATATAAATATTTTTAAAAGCTTGATAAATCTAATTGTTAACTCATTGAAGAAGATTGATTGCTTAAATAGATTATACATTTGACTCAACAGGAAGTGTTTTAAACCTTAGAAGCAGTTATTTGTAAACAAATATTAATTTGAAGCCTAGGAAGTGACACATGCTAAAATTTGGTAATGTGGATTAAAATTGGAGACACTATATAAGTGAGTATACTAAGATCTGAGGAATAAAAAATGCTCTTTGCTTTTCTTAGGTTGTATGTACTCTATTAGAAACAACACAGAAGTCATGTTTACCTAATGCTGTAAATAAATATTTGTGTCTGTGAAATACTGTAACAGATAATCTGAGGCATAATTGGACCTGTTGTGTAGCAGTCCTTATAACTGAAGGAAATTTGCCAGGATTACCCTTTGTCTTTAAAATAGTGTTTCTTGTTTTGTTGTAGCAAATGGGCAGAATTGTCTTCCTAAGGTTAAAAAACTTCTTTTCTTTAAATGAGTAACATTTAGCTCCACCCAATGATAAATACTCTGCTTTTCTTTTTGCTTTAATCATTCCTTGCTATTCCTATTATTATCGTAGAATTTGAAGCTTTTCCTGTGTATCTTTACCCCCATTTTTTAAGGATTTCTTGTTTCAGTTTTCTCTAGGTAATGCTATCCACCCCAAACTTTGGTCCTTTAGAGCAGTTGTTCTTAGTGGGCTGTTACCAGAAGATTGAGTTCCATTATAAGAAAGGGGTAGAGTTACACCTAACAGACCAGGAACTCCGCCTAACCTGAAGGTGATCTTATCTCTGCTATGGCCAAATGTTAGATATACTCTTGGCAGTGGTTCTTGTGTATGTATTCATGGGGAAAAGGTTGAGAATCTGCTACCGTAGAATCTATCATAAATTGAGTTACTATCATAAATTGAGATGTTTCCTTTGTAAAAAAGGAAATTAGTAATTCTGAAATAGGGCATGTTATTATAACTATATTTTGAGCATTAGGTCTTAATTTAGTTAGGTTTGTGACTCTAGATACAAACTGGTCGGAGCTGTCAAGCCACTGAAGTAATATGACTAAAGAAAATTAGTAGCATTTAATGGGACAATACTAATTCAACTTTATGCTTCTTTATTTTTCCTTCTTGTCTTTTTACAGGCAGAAGAAATCGAGTATTCCTGTGAGAAGTGTAGTGGGAAGTGTGCTCTTGTCAGGCACAAATTTAACAGGCTACCCAGGTAAAATTAATTGCTCTTTCATTTTTCTTTTTTAAAGTACTTACAGATATTACTGAATAAGTGAGGTTTACCAGAGTGGATTGGTAAAGAAGGTCAGTAGAGCTGAGATATGAAGAGGGTAGAGGATAGAAAGCTAGAATGCAGAAGACAGGAGGAGGGTTTGGAATGTTGAAGGAACTTCAGAGTCCCAAGTGATGGCAACAAGAGGACTTGGCTGGTGAAACTTGGGAATAATGATAGTGAATACTAGTAGTTTTTTAATTAAGTAATGTATAACATTCAATTATAATTTTTTTCTTGTGTTGTGTTGTAGCCCCTCCCACTCTTATCCCAAACTTTCAGTAAAAATCTGCTACAGACACACATATCTGTGTGTGAAAATAAAATAGGAAGAGTACTTTTCTGCAATTTGTGTATTTCTTTATTCAAAGGCTCTTATAAGTTGGTAAGTCTCTGTAACAATAAGAATTAACTAAGTGCCCTAACCAGTTTGACTCAGTGAATAGAGTGTCGGCCTGTGGACTCAAGGGTTCCGGGTTCGATTCCGGTCAAGGGCATGTACCTTGGTTGCGGGCACGTCCCCAATGGGGTGTGTGTAGGAGGCAGCTGATTGATGTTTCTCTCTCATCGATGTTTCTAACTCTCTATCCCTCTCCCTTCCTCTCTGTAAAAAATCAATAAAATATATTTTTTTTAAAAAAGAATTAACTAATTATGGAGTTTCTGGAACCTAGCCCCTAATGCAGTGATGGCGAACCTTTTTAGGTCGGCATGTCGGCATTTTGAAAAACCCTAACTTAATTCTGGTGCCGTCTCACATATAGAAATTTTTTGATATTTGCAACCATAGTAAAACAAAGATTTATATTTTTGGTATTTATTTATATATTTAAATGCCATTTAACAAAGAAAAGTCAACCAAAATAATGAGTTCACGTGTCATCTCTGACACGCATGTCATCGGTTCGCCATCACTGCTCTAGAGCCTAGTTCTTTTGCTCCTTTCTAGAAAATGAAATATTTTTTAAAGAAATGACTTTCTAAATCATAACAAAAAATTTGTTCTTTGCTATTTGTGAGTGTTTTAAGGCAAGAGGGTGGGAGGAGACAAATATTAAGGCAAAAGATTATTACCAGCTGTCATTAGTGAATGAAACTGGTATACAATTAAAAATACTTGTTTGACCTGGCAAGCTGAATGTATTCTCTTTCTAGCTATCTAGTTATATGGTCTTTCAACTGGTAGAAAAAAATACTGAGGGGAATTTATCTTCTTAGTTTTTTTTCTTTCTGGTAGGTCACATATGTTAAAGGTTAATTTATTCCAAACTTACATGAAATAGAAGCCTTTGTATCATAAGTCTTAATATTGTACTTTTTTTGTTTTTGTTCATTTTACTATTAAAGCCAATCAACTATTTTTGAAGGGTCTGGTATCTTTATCAAATCTACCTGGCTGGTGTGGTTCAGTAGTTGAGCATCAACCTATGAACCAGGAGGTCACAGTTCGATTCCCAGTCAGGGTACATGCCCGGGTTGTAGGCTCAATCCTTGATGGGTGGCATGCAGGAGGCAGCTGATCAGTGGTTCTCTCTCATCACTGATGTTTCTATCTCTCCCTCCCTTCCTCTCTGAAATCAATAAAAATATCTTTCTAATATACTTAAAAAAAATTTTAAACATCTGTTCATTTCTAGTCTATCTCATCTTTGTAAATCAGTGATTTTTAACTGTATCATCTGTCTTTCATATTGCCTTTTATTTTGGTATGATTATTTGAAGAGTTAGTTTAGTCAAAATATTTGACATCTCATAATAGTTTTGTATTGCAGTTAGACTTTTGAATGCTTACATTTCTAATTGTCAGCAAATTAGACAATTTCTTCACATCAGTTGTGTCCTTGTATTTTCTCAAGTTGTGAATGTGAAGGTTAGGAATTCTAGCATACTTTTAAAAGAAAAATACAGTTGATAACTTTAATTTACAGATTTTTCAGTTCGTGGCTTCTGTGATGAAGGTATATATATATGGTAAGAAATGAAACTGTTTTCCATAAATCAGACATTATTTTTGCAGAATTGAGGTTTATTCCCGTAAAGTTCTGAAATTCACTTGTTAAAGTGTTCTTGTGCACTATGAACTATATCTAGTCCATCAAGCAAAGATTATGTTCTGTATTAGAGATGAAAGGTTGCCACAGTAGCAATTAAGAAGTGTTTTTACAGATCTAAAAGCCTTTTCAGATCCACAAACCAGATGTGCCATGAAATTTTGTAGAACTTTTAAGTAGAGAAAATTTTTCTGTTTGCCTTAGCTTTTTTCACAGAAAGTTCTAATGAAATAGCCTACTTCTTGTCAAAAATTATCTTGTTACCCTAGCCGGTTGCAAAATGGTGGACTTGAGGGTCCTGGACTCGATTCTGGTCAAGGGCACGTATCTTGGTTGCAGGCTCGATCCCCCTCTCCTGTCAGGGTGTGTGTGGGAGGCAACCAGTCATTGTGTCTCTCTCACATCAGTGTTTCTCTCTTTCTCTGTCTCTCATCTTCCTTTCCACTCTTTCTCCAAATCAATGGAAAAAATATCCTCGGGTAAGGATGAACAAGGAAAAAAAATCAGCTTGTCAAAACCAGTGTTTACCATCCAACATAGGGCTGTTTAATGCTTTAATTAAAATTATCAGTGGTTATATAACACCTATTTTTTAAAACTATATAACATTGAATTTAAGAATTTAACTCAGTTATCAGTATTAGCATTTAAAAATATAGCGTTCTTGCCTGATGTGGGGTTTTTTTGTGTGTATTTTGTTTTTCTAGGAACATTGTAAGTATTTTACCTAAATCTACCCAATGCCACTGTTTTATTTTTATTTCTATTCTTACTACTTAACACAGTGCCTAGCACATAGCAGATATGCAGTAAATGTTCTTTGGCCAAATCTTTAGTTTGATCAAATGTATTCTTTAAATCAAGAGCTATTTAACATGGCTAGTTGCTGTGATCTTTTTTCACGTATAACAGAGCTACCTTTATTATGTACAAACTAGTGACGTCATCGTCTCCTGTTTTCAGGATCCTCATTCTTCATTTGAAGCGATATAGCTTCAATATTACTCTCTCACTTAACAACAAGATTGGGCAGCAAGTCATCATTCCAAGATACCTGACCCTGTCATCTCATTGCACTGAAAGTACAAAACCACCCTTCACTCTCGGTTGGAGTGCGCATATGGCAATGTAAGTCCTTAAGAGAGAATTTCTTTGCCTTTGCTTTTAAAGTAGAAAGGCTTAAATTTTGCTAGGCACTGGGGATACAATATTCTAATAATTTTACCTAATGTAAGTGCCAAGAGAGACTCTTAAGAGACATAGTAATAATAATAATAATAATAATAATAATAATAATAATGTGGAAAGCCTGTAGTGTCTGATCAAAAGAATGACTAAGCTAGATAACACAGCTCCCAGGTAAAATCAGACCAAGAAGGAAATTTTAATTTTGCTTTATTTGGAGATTTTGTGTTAAATTACTGCCTGATTGAAGTAATTGTAATCAATTGAAGTAATAAAGTGCTTATTCAAAAATTTTCCAAGTACATTAGTTGCCTTTCATAAAAAGTTACCTCTTTAGGTAATAACTCTTAACGATTTTAGATCACTAGAAACAATGTGATATATGTTAGGAATATAAACTTAATTTGCATGCTCATATGCATTATCTGAACATAAAATACTGACTCCTGTGTTCCTTAGAAGTTCTGGTTCATTAGTTCTAAGATAGGACTTGGGAATCAATATTTTTACCAAAAGCCTTTCTGGCTCTTTGGAATATGAAAATTTGGGAAACACGATATTGAATGTTTTGCTGGGTCCCCAAAAATAGATTTTGTCTTCATAAATGTATTATTACCAGTGGAAGTAAAGAACTTCAGTGGCTCCTAGAAATTTTTACATGAGAAAAGAAGTAACCTTTAATTTTGCTTCATCATAAAATGCAAGAAAAACCTTAGGACTTTCTGAATACTGCTCTTTCTTCTGCATACTTGTATTACTTTGGAACCATATAATGTAGTTCCTTTTTATACTTGGACTCTAGTTTGAGAGAGTCATAAAGTTTAGGACCTTAGAGTTGAAAAGGACTTTAGAGATTTTGTCTAAACTCTTAATTTTACAGAGGAGACCCAAGGAGATTAAGTAATTTTCTTAAAGTCATATGGTTAGTACACTGGAAAAGCCAGATTTCTTGGCTAAAGTGGAATAAAAGACATTTCAGAAAGTGGATGAACATTTGCTAATGTGAATTGATACTGTTTCGTAAAAATGTCTTTCTCCTTGGTTTAATAATTGAAATGTATACTACATCTTATAAGTATATATTAAAGACCTTAACGGATATACTAATAAAACCTGTTCCAGAGATTCTTAATGTTTCTGGATTTTGTCTTACGGCCTTTCTTTGGAGTAGATGTGGGTTTTGTGTCTGTGTTTTTTGTTTGTTTTTGTTCGTTTTTTTTTACTTGATGCAACTGCCTTCTGCTGGTAGAGTTGTTACTCTTTCTGGCTGGCAGTAGTACTATATCAACCTATCAATGTAGGCTCTTTATGAATCATACCAGGCCTGAAAACAGGCTATCTGACTCTGTAATTTAATAGCTTTAAGACTTTGGACA